CTGCATATTGAAATTTGACACAAAAAAATATGTGAAGCTATGGAAATTATTTTGACCAACTAATGAGTGGTTTTTATCATGTCTTAACCATATTATACAGAAAAATCAAAAGATGAAAATGGTAAAAGGTGAAAAACGTAGGAGATGAAGAAAAAAAAGTGAATTATTATCAAATAAATTTTCTCAAGTTTTAAATACAAAGTATGTTATTTTAAAAATATTCATCCCTTATATATTTATTTAGGAAGTGATTTTTCCAAAAAAAATATTCTCTGAAATCACTCTCCTAAAATTTACAGTGGTATGACAATCTAAAAAATGTGACATAGCAAAATTTATCAACATTTATTCCACTAATTTAGCCTACTAAAACTTATATCCATAAAAATTAATATCACAAAAATGCTTAAATTTAGTCCACTAACTCAAAAACTACACCCAAAAAAAATTGTGAGAAAACTAATTGATTTTTCTATTGTAACTAGCTCACCTAAACTTATACACACAAAAATTATTCTCACAAAACTATTAAAAATTATTAGGTTTTCGTTTTTCATTCTAAAATCATATGTAAATTTTTGTTTCTCATTTAAAAATAGTTTAGAAATGGATTATTTTAATAATAAAAATAGAAAACATTTTTTATAAAATACATATTCTTTTTGAATTAATAATAAAGACATAAATTTTTTAAAAGAAATTATCCATAGTAAATATTTTTATTTTAGACATTGTTATTCACGTGGAACAAAAAAAAATATTGTTATTCATAGATAGAATAATTCACATGAGTTTCTCCAAATGGATATTGAACACAATTGATCACAATATGTCATGCTTTGTTTTGTCAAGTTTTTTAAGCTTAAAAAGAATTTACACATACAATATAAGTAATTTGGTGCAATGCGTTAACGACAAGGTCTACACTACGGCATCATTAGAAATAGAAAAACTTTTAGAAAATGACAAAATCTTAATTGGTTATTACGATATAAAATTGGATCATGTGACCAATTCAATTATTTTTTGTTAATCGAATTGTAAATGAACTTATTGTCAATATTATTAATGAAAATAGAATCGATGTTAAAAGATGAAAAAGAAAGAAAAATAATATTTGTATATAGAAAATTGAACTTAATTTCAAACTAAACTTCATTACCAAATTTTAGCCACGAAATAATATTTTTCTAATTTATTTTATTTCTAAATAGTATTTAACCGCGTATAACGTAGGGAGTCACCTGGTTTCTGTTAAATAACGTTGACTAAAAAAGGGATAACATTAGAAGATGAACGTCTTCTAAAATAAAAAAAAAAGATTAGTTGACATTTAGGCTCGATAAGCCCTAGCTTTAAAAGATGTTTTTATCGCTAAGATTTTTTAGTAAGGGTACTAAAGCGGGTTAGGTAACCTACTCCATTTGATACCATTTTCAACATGTTAACAAATATTTTGTAGACTTTGGCGATTCGGTTTGTAAGTTTACAACTTTAAAAACATTATTCCCCAACATGTCCGTCTTATGACCGTGGATTTTGGATATCGCTATGTAAACTTATAAATTTTTATTGTTTTTGTATAACTTTATGTAATCAAAGTTTCGGCACCGAATTGGAGGGTATGAGTTCAATTTGCTTTGCAAGAATCATAGCCAGCCCTTAATATATGAGAGCCACAAGCAAAAAAAACAAAAAAACAAAATTGGCCGAATTTGATAAAGACAAAAACACACTAAATGTAGCTTGAGAAAATTGAATTCGGCACTAGCAAGCTACATGTTCCGAAACTTACCACTACACTACAAAGACATTTTTATCAAAATTGGAGCCGCAATTTCATATAATAAAATCAGGGCCGCAAACCCAAACATGGGTTACTTTAATTCAGGGCCGGTCCTGGCAATAACCACACCAATGTTTTCCTAGTAAGAGTCAAATTCGGAGGGGGGCGGAGTGGTATCCAAAATTCAAGCCCAATGATATTCCAACATGTAATTAAATGTCAAAAGAGTGTCCATGTGTCTACGATTTCCAACAAAATAAGTCCAACAAAATGTTCATCTTATGTAAT